AATTACACACATGTATGAATATTTAACTATATTATATTGTCAATTTATAAAAAATTTAAAACCCAAAATGAAAAAAAGAAAAGAAAAATTGCATTTAAACAAATTTGACAAAATAAAAATTATAAAGCAAATCGGACTCATATGAATTTTTTACCACAAATTATTGGAATTTCAACTCAGCGGGTGCATATATTGTATATAAAAATAAAACATTACATGAATTACCCAATATAATGGTCATTACGAATATCCGTAATAAATCATTTTAATGATTTAATTATACTCACAATTAATTTGTTATGGGAAATACAAGAAATTTTTACTATTGACTTTTGAAATCAATTAAGTTAAAAAATTCTAATAAACGTAAATTGATAATAAAAAACCGACAATAAATTATTGTTTAAAGTTCTAGAAAAGAAGTTGCAGGTAACTACACTGAAAGCAAACAAAAGCCAATTTATTGATTATCATTCGTAAATGTGTGCACTATGCGAACATTTTTTTTAATTTTATATTGACTAACAGCCAGCTGGGTTGACCATATTGTTAATGTAATAAATATAACAATATTGATGACAAGGCAATCTAACATTTCATTTAGAAATCTTTAAGAACCACATTCATTTATGGTTGTTTTAAAATAGAAATGCATTAGATCTTATTTGAAATTAATTGAATTAAAGTTTAAAAGATTATTAAACAAAATTATATATTTGAACTAGTGTGAATATTATTTATTAAATCAAAGACACTCTATCTACCATAGTACTCTACCTTTTGCAATTCCAAAACTAAGTATGAGCATTTCAGATAATACATGAATAATTTTGAAGAAAAGCAAACACTATAAAACACGAATTTAATTTTGGATCTTGTTATCAACCTGAAAAACTGCATATATACTAAGTAGTCTTTCTTCCATCTTATATATTTCAAGATATTGCAATAATACCCAAAATATTCAAATTAACCTAAAAATAATTTTAATTTATATGTACGTATACATGTGTTTGTATATCAGCTATATTTGCCTGAATTTTTCACCTTCCAATTAAAAACCATAATTTCGAATTTTTCATGCACAATAAAATACACATTTTCTGAAATAATTTTGATAATACATGACTTACAAAAAGAAAAAAAAAACAAAAACCACTTATTTAATAAATTAATTTTTAGTTTATTTTCAATTTTTTTCGTGTTTTTTGTTTTTTTTTTTGATAAAAATCTACAATAAAAATATTAAAAGTAATTTTTTTATTGCATTTTGTAATGCAATCCAATTTGAAAAAGAGAAAAATAAAATGAAATTCAGGAAAAAAAATTAATAACAGTAGCAAATAAAAGAACACTTTAAACATTTTAATGAAATTCGAAGAATTCATTTTGTTTTCTTTTGATCAAAAGTTTTGCATTTGGTGTTCCAGAACGATATATAAAAAATATGTAAAACGTAATGTTTTAATTCAGAGACGTTGTAATCTTTAAATTGCTATTAAAAACGAAAATAACCACGAAAGTTCTCCTTTGGATTTTCTAGTGTTTGTTATTAAAATCAAAATATTAAATTTCAAAGTAAAGATTAACAAGTAAAAAAATTTAATTTGGTCTTTGCCGAAATAGAATACCCACCTTTTTTAAGTTAACTATATATCTTAACACAAAACTTTATGATTTTAAACACTTGTTAAACATATTAGACCATTTAACACATATATACATAAAGTAGGTTTTCTCAGGACCTGGATAGTAGGTTTTCTGAGGATCGATGTTAGATCAAAAATTTTTAATTAAGAACACCTACCACGACTCTGAATAGGACTTACAAGTTTCAGTAAAGAAATCTTGCTCATTTTCAATACTGATTCGGGTCTTGATGCAATAATATATATAAATCTGTGCCGAATTTCGAATATCTATAAGCGTTTTGCGTTCTCAAAAGATCGACATAGTACATAGCTGTAAATCGATCTGGAATTCGATTCTGAAAAAAGATATTTTTGGGGTACAGGTTTTCTTTACAAGGTCGCAGTTGTTTTTTTTTATTTCTTAGTGTTAAATACGTTGTCGATTGCATTAACTCTGTTATACGTCTACAAAATATTAACATTATCTACGAATCAGAAAAAAAGCTCTATCTCAATTATTTTACAATCAACTGAAATTTTTTTTTTCAAATATTTTTCAGATTAAAAAAATAATAATTTATGTAATACGTATTGTATGCGTATATTTTGTAACGCAAGCACTTTTTTAAAATAATTTATTCATTTTTTGTATTTTTATATTTGTAAAGTACTTCAGTTTTTTATTAACGCTACTGACAAAATTATTTATAAGAAAAAAATGCAGCATAAATATTTTTAATTGACCTTTAAATTATTTTCTTGGCGTCCTTATCCAACACATACATATACATACATACAACAATGCGACCATTTATATGCAGGTCACTCGAATTCAATGTAGTTTTTAATATGATTTTTGTTTTTTGTCATTTCTTTTAATTTTTTACATTAACATTTTCGTGTTTTCAAAAGAAATTTTTATCAAATAAATACAAGTAATTATTTTATTTATATACTTACATAATATGTACACATTATCTATATATGTACGTTTTTGCCAGGGATAACATTTATTCCTATTATAGTACTATTTTCATATTAACAGTTTTATACATAAAGTACATATAGAAACATATATACATATACATTTATGTGAATTTTAAATTTAATTTAATTTTATTTAAATAAGTGTTTATACATATGTATGTATATAACCTGCATACCAAATGACTTCACCTAACACCACACAAATCTAGTTACTTATATCATGTAATGTAAATATTTATTGCAATTTAAAAATTTTGAATAACATGTAGCCGTACACAACCAGAGTAACAAAACTTTTTGGGCCCATGCTAAAAAAAAGTAAGAATTGGGATTTCATGAAATGAAAATGAGAATGTATAAAAATATTTCCCAATAAAATTATGAGAGAAAGTTATAATATGTATGTACAAATACGAGTATATACTTGAAAAAATCCTGGATGCTCCAGAAAATTTTATGAACAAAATAATTAGGAGCGATGCATTTAAAAAAAAAAGAAAATTCCAAAATGAAAATATTTGAGACGTTTATATCTGTATGTCAAATACGTATATTTGTTTTAGGTAAGGTGAAAAAATACCCACGGATCTTTTAGAATATACTATCGTATACATGACAAATGCATGAATTTAATTTCGTTCTATTTAGAATTTACATCTGCAACACTGATTATACAATTAAAATATTGTAGTACAACGTTCGTGTGGCTAGAATTCCTTAATAATGAACGTGCTAAAAAACAAGAGAATTTTAATTGTTTCACTAGAAAATTATTTTAATTAAACAATATTAAAATTTTATAACATAATACATGTTTAATATACATGTATATACATATGTAAAAATAACATTATATTTATTAAAAATAAAACGTCAAGCGCATCTACATTAAATATATACATACATAATAAGAATATTTTATTTTTATAATAAGTATATTTTGCAAGTTGTGTAATAACATGATATTTGAACATTCATATGTACATATGTACATATCCATAAAAATTATATACGTACAATTAACTTGCACTTATAAAAAAGTAATACAATTACATTATGTATGCACATGTATTGATTAATATAGGGAGTGTCATGCTTTTTCTAATTTCAATACATTTTTTCCAATCTTTTGTACAAAAAAGGAGTTAAAACAATATGATAGGTGAATTAGATAATGTTTAAGTAGTTTACTCCTTAAATTGCTCTATTTTTATCAGTTTGTTCTATATACAATAATTAATTAACATACCAAATATAATTTATTAAATTAACATACCATATATAACTGACATTCATAACTCTCATTTTGTTATTATACAAGATGCACAAGATTATATGTATCTCGAAACTAGAAGAATGCTTCTAGAATAACTATTTTAATTAATAATCTTAATTGCTACTCTAAGTTATTCTAAGTTATAAAAAAATAACGGAAAATTATTAATAACTGCTTTTGAAGTTTAAAAACTTTTGATTTTTAATACGACCTTTTCAATTCCTAATTTTGCTATACTCTTTTATGCAAACCACAATATGAATTTACATTAAAATTTGAAAAATCATATTTCGTTTAATTTCAATAATAAAACCTAAAAAGGGAAAGTACAATAACTAAAGTTACGATTTTTTCTAAGAGATTTCTTCTTCAAGTATAGTTAACATAATAAAATTATTTAAAAAATATAAATTATGTATATAATTTTATGAAAATATTTAAAATAAATTCAAAGCAGTAAAATTACAAACAGAATTAAATTTATAGTTTGTACCTTAGTATATTACACACTTATTGTGAATGGGTTTTTTATTTTTATCGAATTACTTTTTTCACAATAGAAAATAATTACTTTTTTCAATTTTCCCTTTACAGCTTTTCGAAAAATATCTATATCATAAAAATAAGTTTTTAAGCAATCATTATAAAAATCAATAGTATTTTAATTTTTTCAAAATCCTTTCTACTATCTAAAAAATTTTTATTAAAGTTTGGAAAAATTGTGAATGGTTACAAAATTCCTAGTACTCTCAATTTATACTTGTGGGTACTTTGCTAAATGAATATTTAATGTTAGTGAGGTGTTAAGGTGAACGATTAATGTTAGTTTTTAAATACAACTAAATGTAAATGATGTTGCATAATGCATTCCAATTTCGATATATAAAATAAATTTTATGATTATTTGCAAATTTTGTACTCTCAATATTTTTCTTTTCGTTCAATACCATAAATAAATTTTCCATACTATTGTGAAGTACTATTGTGAATATTGAACTAGTGCTGCCATTTGAATTTTTTTTTAAATGGCAAATATTTTTGACATATTACGTCATATGGGTTTAATATGTATATATATTATCTTCTTTTGAGTATGGCAATTGACATTTGTCAACGTGAGTGTTTTCGACCTTGCTTTAACCGGGAAAGGAAAAATTTTCTACAAAATATTCAATTTTAATTTAAGGTATTAGTGAAAATTTCCAGCTTTTAATTAAGTAAATGAATTGAGATAAATTTAAACTTAAAATAAAACAGGAGAAATAGACCAAATTTATGTTTACTGCATGTGCTCTTTATATGCTTTGTGTGTGCAGTCATTTGTAGTAGTGCCAAGTGAAATATCTGACAATATTTACAAAAATACATAAACATATTTAATATAAGGTAACTTAAAAATTTAAGCTAGTAGTAAAAACAAATTAGATCAAAATGTACAGAATGTTAATCACATACTTGTATGTAGGTTTTCATTATACCATAGAGTAGACAGTTTGGCCAAAAATAAATTCCAGAACCTAGAAAACATTTCATATCTAACCAATTTTCTTAAAAAAAAAAAACATTTTCAAAAGGTATCTTACTAAAATTCGCAATAAATATTCGTTATATCCTTATTTTTTTTCTGTATTATAAAATCAAAATATATTATAGGAAAAATATTAGGATTTCTTTTAAATTCTTATTTCCTTAATGGATACAAAAGAAGTTCGAGCAACTTGTAAAAAATGTGGATACGCTGGACATTTGACATATCAATGTAGAAATTTTTTTAAAGTTGATCCTAATAAGGAAATACTGTTAGATGTTAGCAGTACAAGTAGTGATTCGGAAAATGATCTTATAACACCTTTAACTCAGTTAAGAAAAGAAGAGCTTGAGGAAAAGGAAAAAAATAAACCAAAACTGAAAGAAAAGAAAGAAAAAAAAGTAAAATCTAAAAAACGTAAAAAACATCGTTCCCGTTCAAGAAGTAGTAGCAGCGACGATAGCAGCGATTCTGATTCAGACACTTCCGATTCATCAAGTGATGATCAATCACGTCGAAAAAAGAAACATAAAAAACGAAAGAAGAAGAGTAACAAAAAAAAGGACAGCAGAAAAAAGAAAGATAGACATTGAAAATAATTTTACTGTAAAACTACTTACTTTGAAAATAAATTAAATTCATGATTCAAAAATTTATGATTAATTTACAATTTAAAGATTCTGTAACTTACCAAAATTTAAATTTAATTCAATTAATTACATATTTAATATGTAATTTGTTTCTAATATTAATTATACCTAATTTTCAAACCAAGCTCTTAAATCCTTATTTCTTAAATTTTATTAGTAAAATTTTAATGGTGCACTATAGCAAATAAGGTGATTTTGTGAAAAAATCACCCCCAATCAGACAGTTGAAAATTTCCAATTTTTATTTTACAAATTTTATTCCATATAAACATTTATATATTTTAAATCGTGATATAACATAATAAAATCAACATACGTGATGTCTGGACGAAATATTTTGACAATGCACTTCAAATTTCAACTAAAACATAACAAAAAAATTAAAGTAGAGAACGTAAAGAATAAAAGAAAGATGAAATAATTCGTTGCCTTCGTAGAAGTAATTATAGTTATTTAATAACCTTTATTAATATACGACTTAATTTCGATTATGATGGAATTTTAAAACATTGTTAACCGTTATAATGGCCTTATGCATCCTTTAAACCAGAAAAGTAAAAAAAAATTATATGTACCCAATTTGAATTGAATTGCAAAATTAGTTTATAATATCGCTTTCATAGAGTATACGTTAATGTATTTTATATCTATGTGGATATTTGATAGGAGGTTGAGGTGTACTTAAATAAAGAAAATATAGATGAAACTAAAATTATAATTCTATAATTTTAGTTTTATCTATATATAATTCCTATTAAATAAAAATGGCTTATATTTTTTATAGAATATTGTAAAATCTAATACTGAAAATAATATTTTTAATTTTAGATAATGGCACCAAAAAAAGGTGACGAAGTTGAACGGAAACCATTAATTGGTCGTATTGGAACAAATTTGCGAATTGGTATAGTTGGTGTACCAAATGTTGGTAAATCGACCTTTTTTAATGTGCTAACCAAATCTGCAGCACCAGCTGAAAATTTTCCATTTTGTACTATTGATCCCAATGAAAATAAGTATCTTACTTAATTTTAGTAATATTCTTTTTTTTACTTTAATATTCATTAATACATTTATTAAATTTTTTAACTACGATATAAGTAAATGAAGAAAGATAACAGGAATTAAACTTCGATATAAATTACGTTATCAATTTTCAATGAGCGAAAAGTAATTAGGGGATAAAAACATAAAATAATCTAACATATTAAACCTTATTTTCTCAATCGAGATTAGACTACGCTTATAAAATTTGACTCACACACTTTCCCTTCTCTGCTTGGTTTTAAATTAAAAAGAATTGCAATTTACGATTATCTGACGATTATCATTTTCTTTCATTTCAATCATAGATCAGTAAAAAGTTTACAATTTCACGTCTTCATCGTTTTAAGATATCGATGGAAGTAGATAATTTTAAAATTACTTTTTAGAAAATTTAGTTTTTGCTTTCGATTTTATCAAATTTGCATCTCTTATTTTTCTTTTTATTTTTCGTAAGGTAATAGGTGTGTTGCATAGTTGACTGGTTTAATAATAATTTCAATGCAAAAAAAAAAATTATAAAAATAATAATTTTCAAAAGTTAAAAACTAAAATTATATGCAAATCGCCATTTTAAGCGTACAAAATATTTAAAATTTTTTTACTGGTTACTACCCCGCTTCAGGCAATCATTCTATTCTGGTATACGTTCTTTATTGCTTTTATGGATGAATGTATTCTCAATGTTCTTGACGAAATTAATTTTTTTGTTTTTATTATTATTTTTCACTTTTTAAATACTTAATGATTTTTGACGGTGAATATAAAATCCATAAATGTTGGAGAAGCTATAGTTAGTGAACCTTTAGCAATGAAAAAATTCATATTATTACTAAAAATCATTACAATTGGTTTTAACAGAAAAGAAAAAAGTTTTGTTTTCCTTAGTTAGAAGTAACCAGAGGGCAACAATCAATTTTATACGAGTTAGTTGAAAGTAAAAAAAAAAGAAAAAAAACTGTTTTTGTTTTTTTGTCTTTTAATAATATCTAAAATACATATTATTATTCATACGAAGAAAACCGGCATTATTTTAAATTATTGTTAATATCTTGCACAAAATTGACTGAATTTTGTTGTACATTTACGTAAGCTAAGAAAATTGTCACAACCGGTGCATCAAAATTGAGTGAGTTTACATGTAAATGTAAAAATGATACTAGCATTAAGATTTGAACTGCAATATTGTTGCACACCATGTTCCCGTCTTATCGTATTTAAGCAGTTCCGTTTATTTTCAAATTCGCCAAAAATAAATCATATTGACTTTAACACTATGAATAACTTAATTTTTAAACAATGAACACACGTTTACCATACAATTTTATGGTTTTCATATCGGATAGTTCTTAAATGCACAAAAACTTAAGTCCATACTAAGAATGTCGTTCCCATTTCAATCGAAATGAGAATGAAACGAAAACAGACAAAGACAAATTTTGTATCTAGTACCTATTTTAAGACCATCAAAAGAACTATTATTAAAGTAATTGATTTTGAAATACAAAACAATAAAAGACAAATTTGCGTGTTTTCTTTTTCAATATTATTTTTAATAATAGAAAATTGCTAACTTGTTAAAATATTCGTTTTTAATGTGTTTTCTTATACCCATAATTCTGCATTTAATTTTTAAATACTTCCTCCACTTTAATTTTTGATTTCGATATAATATCTTTATTTAAAATGTCGTTTGAATAATTATAAAAAATTTTTAATATCAATGTAAAAAGAAGGAGGTACAAAACACTTTATTTAGTAAAAGAAGAAAAATGATTTGATTATTTTAAATAATGAAGAGAGATTAGTTCTTGGTTAACTACATGCATAATAATAGAGGACAGTTATAACCTATTTTTATTAATTAAACTACATAATCTTTTTAAATACACAGGACAAAAATTCAATTATACAAAATTTAGACATAAATGAAATCTTGTTATTTGTTTCCTTATAAATTATATTCATAATTTCCATATTTGTGTTTTATATTCATCTCCATCATTATGTTAATTTTAAATAGGTTTATATCTTCCAGTCTTAAACTAACTAAAGCTTATCGTACAGAAAAGCTTTTGTAGAAAACATTCAATTATTTTAATTAATTTGTTTTTTATTTTCGTTTTTGCACGTAGGGTACCAGTGCCAGATGAGAGATTTGATTTTCTTTGTGAATATCATAAGCCGCTAAGGTAAGTCCAAAATAACAAGTTCTACATTAAGAACGTGGTCAATATTGAACTCATTTAGTAAAGTTAATTTTTTGTTGTCTTATAAATTTATTTATTTGTAAGTATCTAAATCTGGCTTCTTCCAATCAATAGCTTTAAAAATTTTAAAAATATTTAAATAACTTACATGAGTCTGTGTTCAAATGTTCAATTGGAAATCTGTTTTGTAATTTGATGGTTCATCTTTTCTAAAATTTTAAAAGAGATTAAAAAATTAAAAAAAATATTTTATTACAAATCTGGTTCTAGTTTGAAAAAGCTCACTAAAATTCTAGTTACACGTATTATGAATTTCCTAAAAAATTATTCATGAATTCAGAAACTTAAATTAGAATTTTTAATATTACAATTCCCACTATATTGCAATTACCTTTTCTTCAAAATAAAAAGAAAAAAAAATTTACAAATTTTTGAACTTTTTAACTTTCATTTTAATTACTTGCATATGTAGATTCCGTGCAGAAAATTAGTAGGGTCTGCGCGCAATTATCATAAAATTTCCATTCCATATTTTGTTCAATTTTCACGAATTTTTCAAGATGGCCACAACACCATTAAAAAAAAAAATGTTTGATTTTTTTTTTCGCTTCTCTTTACATTTTACTTTTTTTTAACCTTTAGTGGTATTATTAACAATTATTGCCATTTTTATTTTCAGTTTCTTAATATTTTATTCTGTTTTGTTTTTGTTCTTGTTGTTTGATTCCTAAATCTTTAGATGACTTGGAAGCTCCAAATGAAAGCAATTTTAATTGCAAAAGGCGGAGTAGAATTTTTATTTTTAATTTTTTTTTTTTATGTTTTAAAAAAAAGAGAAGCCAAGAACATTTTTTAATCGTCTACTGTTTTGTTTTTTTTTTTTTACTTACATGCACTGTTAGTATGTATGTAGTTGAATTATTATTTGAATTGCCATCCTTAAAGTTCCAAATGTAGGTTAAAAATCTGCAAATTTAAATAATTCGCTTAATTCGAACTTAATACGTAAGTTTTCATTAAATTTGCAAAAAGAGATTCTTCAAATAAATCTTTATTTCAAGTTCCGTGCAAAAATTTGATAAAGCGCATATTCAATACTCCATCGGTTTCATGATATTGAGTCTTAGAACATCATGAAAATTTGCTCAAATGATCCACTGAAAATTTGTCACTATTGTCAAATAACACAGATGACTTAAACATCTAATCCAATTGTTTTCAATCTACGTTTTCCGCTTTTTATTTTGTTTATTTTAAACCCTCCATTTAAAATAATATAGAAATAGAAATTACAACTTCCGAAAAAAATGGAATAGGACTGATTGTTTCAGACTTAATGGCATTCTCGTTATGTATTTGGATATTTGGATTGTCCCTTTCTAAAAATCTTTTGGAATAAAATGCCGCTTCTTAATCTACATATGCAATTTCATTAACATATTTTTTCAATATTTATTATTGACTCAATCAAGAGTTGAGTTAAAATTTCTTATTGTACAAGAATGGACTGCAACAAAATTTACTGAATTTTTTAAAGAGAAGTTTTATTTCCATTTTCTTTGTAAATTCTTCATATTTACTTAAAACAAAACTTAAAACAACAATTTTAGTTACATTTTATATATAAAATTTATGAGCAAATGCCTTCTTTTCTATGTACAACAATTAAAGTGCCTAAGAGCACTCGTTTTGATATAGCCTAATGTAGAAATTTGTTTCAATTTTCAAATTTCATTTTTAATTTGTTTTCAGCAAAGTTCCGGCATTTTTAAATGTTGTTGATATTGCCGGTTTAGTAAAAGGCGCCTCCGAGGGTCAAGGCCTTGGCAACGCATTTCTCTCACACATAAGGTAAATAAAACATTATAATTTCGAAGTAAAAAAAATTAATTCTTCTTGTAATTATTTAATTTACAGTGCTTGCGATGCAATATTCCATTTATGCCGTAAGAAAATTATATACCTACATTAAAAATTATCAACGTTCTATTAATTTGCGAATACATACATATTTATTTAATTCTATAGGTGCATTTGAAGACAGTGATGTTACTCATGTCGAAGGTGAAGTTGATCCAGTTAGAGATTTAGATATCATAACCGAAGAACTTCGATTAAAAGATGAGGAAAAATTAAAACAAAACCTAGAAAAATTAGAGAAAATGTATGTGAGAGGCGGTGACAAGAAATTAAAGCCTGAATATGTGAGTAAATAAATACATATATTGAATGCAATTAGTGGACTACTTTAAAAATAAATAATTTGCAATGGAATTTCAGGATTCTATGATGAAAATTAAACAATTGATAATAGATGAAAAGAAACCGCTAAGATTTGCCGACTGGAATGCCCATGATGTGAGTCTTATATGTTTAAAATCTTGAAGAAAAAGATATTAAAATTGTTCATAAAATTTTCTTCTTAATTATTTTAGGTTGAAGTTTTAAATAAGCATTTGTTCTTAACTTCTAAACCAGTCATTTATTTAGTGAATTTGTCAGAAAAAGATTTTATTCGTAAAAAGAACAAGTGGCTAGCAAAAATTAAGGAATGGGTTGATAATAATGATCCTGGTGCAACTATTATACCATTCTCAGGTGCATTTGAAGCTAAACTCTTAGAAATGGACGATGCTGAACGTAAAGCATATGAAGAAGAGCATAAATGTAAAAGTAATTTGGATAAAATTATTGTTCAAGGCTATAAGGCTTTGCAATTAGAGTACTTCTTTACGGCAGGACATGATGAAGTTAAGGCATGGACAATTCAAGTAAATATTTGAATTTCAAAATTTAAATTGCTTTTTTATAAATTGAATATGAATTTTTTGGTATTCTTTTAGAAAGGAACTAAAGCACCGCAAGCTGCTGGTCGAATTCATACTGATTTTGAAAAAGGTTTTATTATGGCTGAAGTAATGCATTATAAAGACTTTAAAGAAGAAGGATCTGAAGCATCATGTAAGTCAGCTGGAAAGTACAGGCAACAAGGTCGTAATTATGCAGTTGAGGATGGTGATATTATATTCTTTAAATTTAATGCTGGTGCTGGTCTTAAAGATGCTAAGAAAAAGTGATACCCACAATTTGCTGTTATCATTATGGTTATGCTTTATATAAATATGATAATGTACTGGCATATATTTATTTTGGAATAAGATGGTTAAATTCTATATAAAATATTTTTTGTATACAAGAATTTAATTAAGAAATTTGATTAAAATACACAATCAGCCAATAAAGCAAATTTTTTTTTAATAAAAATTTGGGTATAAAGATAAATACTACATACATATATGTATATAATATTTATACGTTTTTGCTATTTTGAAAATTTTACTTGCTTAATGCGACATTTTGTCTATAATATTCTCTACAAAAAAATAAAATAAATAGTTTCTCAGTAATATAACGATCATCAAATATTTGAAGTTGACAAATTGAATTTTTTTTAAATAAATAAATTAAACCAAGTCTATTATGTAATAGGAAAAATGTTTCAAAGCGAAACAAAAACTTGTAAATCTAACAACAACTTGAAATCAGGAAGACTCATTCGTGTTACTAAGGTTAAATATAAAACGCAAATTAAAAAATTTAGGAAGTTAAAAAAGAAAAAATCAATCAAAGAAAACGATAATCGAAATAAAAAGCTGCCCAGAAAAATAAATTTTCCATTGCGGAGTGAAAATCTGAATGTAGGCTATTACGTTTCTGCGGTAAACAGCGCCAAAACCAAAGAAAAAGAACAATTAGATATCTTTATAGACGACATTCTTAAACAGAGATTTGATTTCGTACCGGAAAACCGTAAATATCAATATTTAGCATGTGAAACAAATTTTATTTTGCATCAGACTATTGAAAAGACAATTGAATATTGTAAGCGATTAATTGGGAAAAAATTTATTGTACCCGAGAAGTACCCAATAGAAGAATATTGTGATCGAACTAACTTTAAGAACTATGTAAAGTCAAGAAATACTAATATTATTATACTTGGGCAACCCGATCTAAACCAATCAAATTTAGGCGATTTATTAGCAAAATATTTGCATTATGAGCACATTAATCCAATTAATGTTATAAATAAGGCCATTTATCATAAAACATTTATTGGGAAATGGATATTTTCAAATTTGTCTTTTGGCAGAAAAATTCCAATTGAAATTATATTAAAATTAGTTGCAATGGAATTGCATAATAGAAAAAATGAAAACAACTTAGTCCCATTCATTTTAACAGGTTTACCAATAATTTCCTGTACAAAATTATTACCACACGGTCCAGGAATTATAAGACAATTAGAAAATATATCTAGCGATGAAATTGAACGAAATAATTATCTTAACGAGAATAACAGTGATTCTACTTCTTGGAGTGAAAGTGAAATGCAAGAATTTTTGAAAACTTTAAACGTGATCGAAGGACGCGAAATTGATTTCAGCGACGGTGAGAATTCTTCAATTGATAGTGAAATAAACATAGATCGTTGTTTTCATACAAGTAAAAGAGATGATTGGTACAATAATAAAGAAGTGGTAAGTAAATAAATCAAAATTCAATATTTTAAGTAGAACCGTCAAGAACTATTTTAATGGTAATAGTGCTGTTTGTTTTCATTAATTTATTTAAAATTTATTAAAAAATATTTTGCTAAACATGGTTTTTCTCAGATTGTTAAAGCTGACATGTGATTATTACAATACATACACTCAACTTTTACTTATTTTTGAACAATTTCAGAATGAACTGTTCCAGAATTACATAACATCAGCCGATTATAACATTGAAACAATTGAAGAATCAGTTCAAAAACAAATCAATTTCTTAAATAAATTAGATATTTACATCGCTATATACTTAAATAGCTCTAACGATGATTTGTTACTGAAAAGATCGAAAAGCAGAAAATTATCAAAAAAGATTATCCAAATAACCAATTTCCGTAAAGTTTCACCAATAATTCAACTTTATTATGGACAATTCAGTAAAAACCAGGGATTTGAAATTGATAGTCGATTTTCAAATTCTGAAATAATCAATCAAATCTTGAATCGTTTCAGTTTATTTAAGTTGAAGAAAGTGTATTTACCTGAATTAATGTTTAAAAATTGTAAAATACCCGAACACCTGGAAAAAGTTTTTTTAGAAAATGATTTTGAAACGAATTATGATATTTTATTAAGAACTGACATTATTAAGCCATTATTTTTCTGGCGTAAAAGTGAACTTCAATATTATTGCCCTATCGAAAAATTTTATGGAAGATTAACAAGAGGAAAATTAAGATTTGCTGTTAAATATTTAGGAAACTTAATACTTTGTTCAACAAAAAATAAATTAAAACAATTTATAAATCATCCAGAAAAATATTTGTATTCAAATCCAACATGTAGAATTGGAATTATTGGTATAGAAAAGTGTGGGAAAAGTTTATTGGCAAATATTTTAAGTTGTTTTTTAAATGTACCAACATTCGATTGTAACAAGGAATTTTTTGATATTTACAATGATAGATTAGCTTTTGAGCCTTTTCTTCTGGATCAGTATTATAAAAGGGCTGTAGAGCAAACTTATCTTGAACTAAAAGAGATTTACAAAAAAACTTTCAATTATTTTCAAACATTAAAAATAAATTATATAAAGGAGATATTAAAAAATGTTATTAGTGTAGTTTATGAGTTGATTGATCCCGATTATACTCCAAATTCATCACAATTCTTACATCTAATTGCCGAATATTTGCCAAAAGAATGTTTTGAAGATTTGAAAGAACCCGATTTTTCTAGCCCTTTATATATATTATTGCTAGAAATAAATATTCAGAAATATTTTAAAGAACATCAACCATGTAACTCAAAAATTCTGCAGAAATTTTTTGATTTTGTAAAACAAAATCATATAAAACAAAATAAAGGATTCAATCATTTTGACTATTATAGTCAATGGATAATTGATTCTGGGCCATTGTCAACTGACATCTGGGAAGAAATGTATCGAAAAAATTGTTTACCCGATGTTTTTATAATATTTGAAAATTTTTCTAAAGAAAGTTACAATAGAATTTATTCAAATTTTAAAATTAAATTTCCAAATATAGAAAAAGCATTAATTAATTTCATGAAAACTGATTTTCATTGGTTCGATCGTAAAACAGTTTTAAGAAAATTTAAAACATTTAATTTCCCACAAAACAAAGCCTTTCAAGAAGAACTTAATAAATATGTACCAATTTTATCTGAGAAAAAATTCAAAGAAAACCAAATTTATCAAGAACAAATTAAAATTTTAAAAAAATTTTTAAATACAAAAAATGTTGAAATTATTTCAATTGATTGTTCACAAGAAATGAAACCTGTTGAAATGTTCGAAAAAATTTTATTCAAATATTTTACAATATTTATTGATAAACCAAAAATAATTAATTTTGAAAAGTATTCTGAAATGATTTCACAAAGTTTTAAAACAGATTTAGACTTAACCAATTCAGAATTTCAAAAAACAGGAGATTTTAACAAAAAACTTGAAATTTATGGTATTCTTTTAGGAGCAACAAATATTTATTGTCCAGTAACTTTGGTAGACCAAAATATTCTGGTTAAAGGTATATACAATATTTGAAATAAATAATTTAGGTAAATAAATTTCGAGCTGTTGAACCCTTAGCTTAAGTGTCCTTAAAATCTCTTTAAAAAATTACCATTTTGGCAATAACGTACTTTTCTATTCATTTGCTTTTTTTATAATTCTGAAGCTTAAGACTAATCGAATATTATCTGGAAATCGTCTTGTATGTGTATATAAGACTATAATATGTGCAATTTTTTAAATATTTTCGCTGATCAAGTATTTTTGCTTTTAGGTAATCCAAACTATTGCATCAAATATAGTAACAAATTTCATTTATGTGAATCGAAAGAAAAAGCAATACGTTTCATAGAGAAACCACAGAAATATTATTTCGAACATGAATTGCCCAAAGTACCGCCGCCACGTATTTGTTTATTAGGACCAAGTTCTAAAGCAAAATCATTTTTCGCAAATAAACTATCAAATATTTTAAATGTTCCAATTTATGTCTGTAATGATGAATGGAAACCAAATATTAAATCAATTTTAAATCCAACTGGTTCTAATGAAAATCATTATTATGCATCGTGTATTTCAATACAAGATATGATGAAAAAAAATTTATTAAATTTAAAAACTAGTGGTTTTATACTTTGTGGTTATACCTTTAATAAAAACCAACAACTTGATAAAATTGAATTATCCCCAGATTGTGTGTTTAAATTTAATGAAGAAGAATACTTACTTGATTTACTTACCACTGAGTATATTACAGAAAAAACAATTAATTCAAACTTTTTAAATTTAACTTTAAAACAGGAAGAAATTTTCCCAAATGAAAAATCAAATGAAACAATTAAATCAGCAAATAACAACAACAATTATTTTGAAAAAAGAAAATATTTACAAATAAAAGTTAAACAATTAATTCAATCATTATTACAATCAATAGAAGATGATATTAATTTTTATATGAAATATAATCAAAATGTAATTGAGATACCCTCCAGTTTTGTAGATCCACATTTACTTGAAAAATCTATTTTGAAATATGCTAAAGCAATTAATAATAACACTAATCGTTCAACCATATTTTCAATTCCTCAAGTTATCGATTTCAATTCGGCTTTAAAATGCATCGAAAATGGTTATTATAGAGAATCCAGATTTAAATTTTCATGTCCAGGTAAAAATATTCAAAAAATTTTGCTAGTTTCGCAAAAGCTACGAAATTTATCAAACAATTAATTTAACTTTCTCCTTCCTATAATTTCAAGTACGCCTAATGAAAATGAAGCTTTTTAGTGATTTTCATGGTTTGAAAATTCAAAATAAAATTTTTCCATGCATTCTGAATAATCATTTATATTTTATAAGTACAAAACAATATTTAAATGAATTCATCGAAGCACCAACTCAATATGTCCAATCAAATTATTCAAGTAGCTTTTCTGAACCAATGATTATTGCTGCAATAGGATCAGTTTTTTCTAATGTTTCAATTTTATGTGACCGAATTTCTAAAGAGTATGGAATGAAAGTTTTAACAGAATGTGAAATTTTTCAAATAATAATTTCGAAAATGCGCCATACTGAAATTTATAAGAATCTGAAGAATAATAATTTCGAAATGACCAACAACCTATTTATTACTGGATTAAGTTTATTAAAAAATTGTTATCCAAATGGTATTATAATTAAAAATTATTTATTATCATCAGGAATTTTGAAATCAGCATTACAAAAAAACTGCCAAATTCATATTGTATTCGTTTTGAATTCGAATTTCGAAACAGATGAACGAAAAACTTTCGGACAATTTTCTCAATATAATTTACAATATGAACGTGTCATCAAAAATCTTAAAACACATGCAGATATGACTTTTTTTAACATTCATTTTTTAACGAATACGAAAAATGATTGGATTATATGGAATGAGGCTAATTCAATAATCCTGAAAACAGCAAGAAATCATGTAACATATCGTTTAAAATCAGAATATGAAATACCATTAGCAAACAATTTAGCTTTTTTAAATGTATTTTATGAAGAAATTGAAAATGGATTAGATAGAATCTATTCGAATTGTCCAATTTGTTACTCTGATGGAAATCTTATACAGTACCGTTACAATATTTTTAATGTTGACTCAAAATTTTTTTCACGTGAATGTCAAATGGAATTAATCAAACCATATGCATACCAAAAAGAATGGCTTTATAGACTTTATAAATTCCCGAAGACTTTTTCCTTTCAAAAATCTCAAATGGATCTAGAATTTATAACGACCAATAATAAACTTCATAGCAATACATTTCAATACAAAAACTATTTTTTTTGGACATGTGATTTACACAGATTAGAAATATTAATACATCCACAGGATTTTATACCAATATTAACAGATAGTCTACCGAAATTTATAACATTTTTAGTAACGAATTACCCGTTATTGATGGTGCGACATGATGGTTATTGTATTGTTTCAAGCTCAATTGGCAAGTATATAAAAGGTAAATACATTTCTAAGCTATACATTAAAATAATTTAAAAAGTATGTAACCGGTTCTTAAAAAAAATAAAAATTAATTAAGGCTGCGAACTAAAAACCTTACAATATTACCTTTTATAATTTTAGGGCAGCGTGATATTGCTGCATATTATCGTGGTTGCGTATACTTATTTGCAAATAAGAAAAATGCATCATTATTTTTAGCAAATCCTGATTATTATCATAACATAAAGTTTAAGCATCCAGAAGCAAATAAGTTAAATATGGATTTGGATTTGAAGAGAACAGAAATTAATTTGAAAAATTTAACTCCCAAATTAGTGACAGAAGCCCTAAAAAATTTATCAAATTTACGACCGAAACACTTTCTTTTGAATCCACAACAATCTGCTTTAATTTATTTAGGCTTATTTTTAAAAACATATTCGTGTTCGGATCATGAAGTAATTAGTCACTGGGATCGTATTTTGCAGTCATACAAAAATGAATGTGATGTTTTTGCAAGAAAATTCAAAATGTATAAAATGCAGCCGAATCCATATGTCTTAAAAGACGGCGAAATGGACATTAAAAACGACAAAACCAAACAATTTTAGATTCTTAGCCAAAAACTCGCATACTTATGTACACACCTACTTCCATTTAAACTTAACGAATTATGAATTTCTATTTGCATTTACTAAATGTTTCAATCACAGTGCAGATATTATGTGCGCAGAAAAATGCATTGTGAAAATTTTTTTTCAAGAAAAATAAAATTCAATCAACATAAAATTTTATTCGTAATTTAGAAATAATTTTATTCGTAATTTACAATTTTAACTTAGTACAAACAGAAATTCATAAATGATTCCAAAGAACATTGAAATTTTAATTATAATTTAACAACTTACATTACATAGAAAATTGATTTATTTTATTAGAAATTTAAATAGTTAAAATTTTAATATTAAAAATAATAATTTATTTTTTTATTAAATTTAAATGTTTTTTTTGCTAAATTATAAAACTGACATTTAAATTGCACTTTTGATTATTGATTTGGCTTTTCCTTTTCGATACATCGATTATATTCTTCGATGCTTACACATTGCTTTCTTTTTTTAGTGAATATGTACATATGTATCTAGAATTTAAAATAGATAAGGTAAAGTGTATTCCACCATGCCTGATTGTCTATCTCGTTATTTTACTCGGAAAGTGAGAAGAAAGTGAGTAAGTGTAAGAATGTGAGAAATAATGTAATTTTCGAGAAGAAATAATTGTATACAAAAGTTTTTCACTTTGTTTTTGAAAGAGAAATATTCAGTCGATAATTTGAGAAAAAGTGGAAAAATCCAATTAAAAATATAAGTAATCTTATTGGAAAAGTGAAACATCCATTAGAAATGCTTATAATTCTGATTTGAAAAAGCGATAACGCGATCAGGCTGTAAATATCAAATTTTTTGCATACAATTTTTCATATAAAAACATAACACTGTCAAAAATTTAGTTTAAAAAGAAGTTGACAAATTTTTATTTTGTAAGTGAATAATTTTAATTTATTTTACCCTTCAATCTTTCAAGTCATCAAAAATGAAAACTACTTTTGAAAAGTTTATACCTATAGCTACTGCAAATTTGTTCGAATTATGAAGTTGTTGAATATAATTTTAATAAAACAATAAAAAAAGAACATTATGCAAAAAAAAAACTATTTTCCGAGGGTTACCGATGGGTAATAGTCAGTTTTACACGCGATAGCATATTCTCTCTCTTTTCAAGAGAAAAAAATATCCATCAGTGAGAAAAGAGAAGTCTTGGAGAATCATTTTTCTGCTCGAAACATTTGATCTCAATTGCTTAACAGATAATCAATTTCATATGATTTTTATGTGTATGATCTTATTTCCATTCGAATTAAACATTTTTTGCAACCAAATTTTGTTCCACTAACCAAAGAGAAATTTTAAATTTTTGGAAATTTTTTTTTGATGGTTAAGGTATTCTAGGAGAACCTCAGAAATAAAACTTAGGTGTTTTTCAATTTACGGCGGAAAATGTTTTTTAAACTGCCAGTCTAGGCTTAACGCGTCTTTTATTTTCCATAAAGCTGTAATTGAAACTTCATTATAAATTAAATTGACAGCAGAGCCTCTTCTGGAATTTTTTATAAAAATTTGATTTCAAATTTAAATTTTGACATAAAATTCAAAATACCAAGAGGCAAGAAATACAAACAATAGCATTTGAAAAGCGGCAAAATAAAATATTAAATACTCAACTAATTTTTATACCTTTGTGGAATAAAATATAATTTTTATTATAATTTAAAAATGTGGAACTTAGAATTAGGCTTTCCTGAAGATGAAACTATCCATGATGGTTTCTGTACAAATACACTTCTAAAGCTATGTGTAGAGAAACCGGTACGATTCAATTAAAATTGCACAAAATGTAAAACTAAAAATAAATTGCTTAATGTTGTAGATAAAAAAGTTACCGGAAGTTCATGCAGTGACTGAAAATAAAACTATTGCATTATCAATTGATAAAAGTGTATTTATATTAGAAAACGAAGATGTTACAAGTAACCCAAAAAGTATTACGTTTGATTCAAAAGTAGAAGCTTTGGGAATCACAATGAATGGCGATGTTATTGTATGTGCGTTGGATAATGGACATATTCATGGAATTTTTTCAAGAGGTTATCCTGTATTCGATTTAACTATTGAAGAAAATGAGAATGGGCAAAATTGTAAAGTAATTGCAATTAATCGAGATTCAGAAAATAGTTTTAGAGTATTTCTTTCCAACGGCAGTATTTATTATTTAAGCAATATTGATGAATCTCAACTTTATAGTAGTAAAATAGCCGGCATCACCATAGAAGATAATTTAACTTTCGAGGAAGTGCTTTTAGAAAACGTTAAACTTGAAAAAATACCTAACATATTTGGTTTGAATGAAATCTCTTATTGTTACTTTTTAAGTTTTGAAGAAGATATAACAAGTTTAGACAACACTTATATATACATATCTGGAAATCTCGATTTTATCAAATTTCAAAATAATAGATTTACAACGAAAATATTGCCACCAAAAGAATATGGTGGTATCAAAAACATTTTTAGCTTTCATTCTTACATAGTGGCTTTGACTGTTAGTGGACAAATATTTGAAATTTGCCCATATACGCGAACTTTATTTGCTAATTTCACTGATTCCTTAAATTACAGCATAGAGGATATTGTTGTTATAGAAGCTAACAATGAATCAATTGAACTTTTGTTATTATGCAAATCCAAGGATACGGAAGAAAAATCCATTAAAGTTGTAAAATTTCCTTGTAAGATATGATAATAGAATTTTAATTTTCAAAATATTTACATTTTGCCTTTTTAGCATTTGAGATTTTAAACGAAATTTCACTTACAAGTTTAGCATGGCTAGTTTTACAGCCCAAAGAGTCCGTTAATCTATATTATTTAAGTAGTGAAAACTTAAACGATCAACAGCTTCCACTAGAAATCGAAATGAAAGTTGTCAAAGAGACCCAGCCGGAAGAAAGACTGAAAAAATTAATTCAAAAAGGTCATTTAGAAGAAGCTGAAGATTTTGGAAAGAAATTTGATTTAAGTTTGCAGCCAGTTTACAAGGCTAAAATCCGTAAATACATACATAGCATTAGTTTATTTACCGAAAATGACTTACATTCAATTGACACAGTTTTTTCAAATCTTATAAGTACTTTAAAACTTATTGAAGATAAAAAATTTTTTCATGAAATTTGCATGATTGAAATTCCTAGTCGCCAGTGTCTCGAGAAATACTTGGAAATAATGCTATTATTTTTAGATGAAGAAAACTACTTCGAAGATTTGTTACTCATAAAAGAACAATTGTTGCGCTTAAAAACTCTTGATATAATTGATCCATATGAATGCAATCGGGATTGGCAAAAATTTGTTCATCATCCAAATATAATAAAAGTATGTGCATCTTTTTTCAGTGTTGATATGTGTATGGCTTGCATTATATGGAAGAGACATTCAACTTCAATAATTCCATACCTTGATGAAAATGCCATTCGAAATATTCTAAATCTTCTTCCATCAACAATTGAAGCCTTTAGTATAATTCAATGGTTAAGATGTTTCATACCAGGTGTAATACAAAATTTTCCTAAGTCAATGCGACATATCGTTGAGTGGAGTATAAAAAAGACTAGATCTCTTCAATTTTGTAATTATTGGCCCGCAATCGGTTTAGAATTTTCTACAAAATTATTGGACATTTTCGAAAACGTAAATTTTTTACATTCCGATATACGCAGACAATACGATGCGTGTATAGAAAATTTAAAAAATATTACAAATATTTTAGAAGATCTCTTAGTACTTAAAAACACTTATAACCTAGTGTTTGCACTGGATGATTATGAGAAAAATTCAATGGATCAAACTACGCTGAAAATATTAGAGCGTGTTCAAACAACAATGTTAAGTAGCCTTGTAAAAGATTTTTTATATCCAATATACAGAGAAATGGGAAAAACCCCAATTAATTCATTAATAAAGCATATAGAGTTTTTAGTTTCAAGCCGTAATGGCTTTACAGCTTGGATAGAACGTGCAGTGATTTTGATTAATTTGTTACATAACGAAGAACAAAAGCTAAGTAGTGCTTTGCTTGTATTAAGGGTATAATCTTACTTATAAAACAATTATTTTCAAAAACAAACATTTATTTTGTAGTCAACGCCGGTTCCATGGCCTGAAAGTGTTCAACCTTTGTTAGAATTTAGAAATTCGAGTCACGCTCTCGCTATAGAAATAAACACATTATGCGAAATGCAAATTGTAGAAGCCATGAAAATTAAATATGGGTGGGAAACGAATATTACTGATTCTAATATAAAGCTGTTAAGTAGAATTGTTTACATGGATTTGCCTGATATGTTTGAAGATATCAAAAATTTAACAGCAGCAGATCCATCTTTGGAACTGCTCGCGAACTTTTATTGTTGCTTTGAACTGGGTAGAAAAGGAAAAATTGAAAGGGCTGGAGAATTCTTAAATTCTTTAAACCTATCTGAACGACAATTTTGCTGTGAAAAGTTGATTAATATTATAATGGTAATAAAAATTGTATTAAGCAAATTATTATTAATTTTAATTTAAAATTAGGACATCTTAGAAGATAGCGATACAACCGATATAGATGAAGAAAATGAATATTTGCTCAAATTGATAAAGTCAACAATTGGTTTTATAAATGAAGATGCAAAACAATTAATTAAGACTATAGAAAACGTTATATTATTGAAAAAAAATTTTTGTATTAAAATTCAAGTAAGCAATCTGTACAAGGAAAGCTTTAAAAAAACTGCTTTGCAACAAGGAATATTATATTTGAGCAAAATGATAAATGAAAAAATACAAATAGATGATACTAATAATTTGATGAATTCAATATGGCATAGCGTTAATGAATTATCTAACGCTTTAGAATTGGATAAAATTTACGGTTTACTTTCAATGGCTAAGGCCGTTGGGAATATACATTTTTCGTGTGCCCTAGCATATAATGTCATAGAGTTTATCGATTGTACCTCATCTAATTTTGAATTGTTTGTAGAATTTGCAATTTTAATAGTGTCACAACAGTTACTTTTTGACCAAGAACAGCTTAATGATATTGAAGATCCATTGGCATACCCAATAGCTTTCGAACTGTTGAAGAAAGCTGCTAATTACATAAAACTTTTTGAAATTGAAAAACTTTCAAAATGGATTAGAATCGGTTCAGATTTATATGGTGTTAATGCTATACAAAATGTTTACTCAATAAACAATGGCATCAACAATATTGTAAGTACTTATTTAATTCTAAACAAAATGTAATAAGCCCAAATTTCAGTTATTATCGCACTTTAATCGAGATCAAAATGTTAAAAATGTTAAACAGAGTAAAAAACGGGACTCGTTTTCAATTTTCGACATCCCCACAAATAAAGCTTGCGCACAAGCGGCAAAAACTACTTCTGATCCAACATCGGTTTTACGCTGTTTATCATTAGCCCTGGTTTTAGTAATATTGCAATGTGAAAAGGAAGGTAATGATGTTTTCAAAAGATTTGATCAGTACCTACCGGATAACTTGACGGAATCTTTAGAAAAGTATTTCTATTTTAAATTTATTAATTTTATAATTTATTTATTTTAGTAATTTATATATTTAATTATTTTTTTTACTTGCAGATTCTTAGAAAAATTTTATATAAGTTTTGAACATTTAGTCAAATCGAAACAGCATGAATATTGGTATAAAATTGCTCAATTTCTAATGGACTACCAAAAAAATTTTAGAGTAAAAATTATAACTCCAGTATTCTTATCGCTGCATATGCGAAAAATATTCAGAGATGCTTTGGCACAAAAAAACCCTAATTTCCCCAGTAAATTCAGATTTTTTAAAATGCTTATAAGTACAGACTAATAGAACTATTTTTAGATTTATTTGGTATGCTTATATGTGATCACGATCCAAAATCCTTTCTAAATAATCTTTTTAATGAGCTCAAAAGTGAACATCAAAAAATGAATTATTTTTGTCTATCGGAGAGATATTTTTCTTTGATAGACGATACTGAAAAAGTTGTTCAGCAAAGACAAAGGTAAGATTGAGTTTTAAAAATTAGGTAACCAGTCAATTAGCTAATTGAAAACAAATTCTTTCTTGCAGCCGTCTTAAATATTTTTATTTTGCTGAACTGCGAAAACAGGGTCCGGATCAAGTGAAAAATCGTGACATCGATACAATTCTTTTTGATGAATTAAAATACGAATTGTTAAGTAAAATCCTAAATATTAATTTATTGGAAAAATTTTGTGATGATTTTGATTTAAATTACCAAAGTGTTTTGATATCGCAAGTAATTAATTTGTTAAGAAATCAAGAATTATTATTTGACATCAAATTGGACCAATTTGGGAAAGAGGAGCTAGTTGTTAAAACATTCGCTAATGATATACGCGACTTATGTCAACCTTATATTGATAAAATCGAAAATAAAAAAGATTTAGGTGGATTTTTGCTTAATTATATACCAAAAGTAAGTTGTCTAAAATCTTGTTTAGTTTATTTTGTTCTTTTTAAATATTAAATAAAAAGTCTTCCCAAAATGACTGATAATTTTTTCAGATTAACTCCTATTTCTATGAAATGTACTTATGTGTTTTTGAAATATTGTTATCTTTAAAAATATTGTCTGTTGAAGACACAAAAAGATTCAAATTATTCTGCAGTATACTGACATTTTTAAAACATAAAACGGTTACAAGAAGGAAAGGTCGTCCAACTGATGTTGAAACTGAATCTTGGTTAAAAAATCAAACTGATAAAACAACTTTATCGAATGTAGCTAAATATCGATTGCCATTCTCATTCTTTTTTGATGAAATGAATTTGGATACGATAATGAGTACTGCTGATATTTTATATTTTCGAATTGCATATCATTAAGTTTATCAAAATAATTTTAGGGAATGATATTGACATTGATAATTGTGAAGGCTGGTTTCCTTTAGTGAAATTTTATTCGGAACTATCTCAAAAAACAGTTAATAAACAGGATCACATTATTATATCAACAATAAAAAGGGCAATTACAAAATATTGCAGGGATTACGATACATGGCAATTAACACCAGTTAATAACGCTTTCCTACAATCGGTAATTTTAAATATGCTACTTGAATAATTTGAAATTTAAATAAAATTAATTATAGGTGCTTCGCTTACTTCAGCATATATCAGATAAATCTATGATACTTGCTATCCTCTATAATTTAACAAATAATGCTCCTGATGGAGCTGATCAAGTTGAAGCTGCTTTTGAATGCTATAAATTTGCGATTCAAAATGAACAAGAGTTACTTAAAGCCAGCCGTCCACATGCAAATGACGAACTAATTTCCAAAATCAAAAGAAAATATCCATTCTATAAAATGCAGCATTTATTACATATTTATGGTTTGGTTGAAGATAAGCTAATTCAATTAATTGAAAGCCCAAAAGATTTGATAGTAGCTTTATATCATCACGAATCTCTATTGAAAAATCGTAAACCAAATATAAATCAATTGGCTGCTGAAATTGCTGAATTAATGAATATAAATTTATTGAAATTGCAACATTCTATCTTAGAGAGATGGTTATCGTGCTCAAATGATGCAGATGTCCACGAAATGGAAGAAACGTTTTATGAAGATTTAAATGGAAATGATACATTTATAAATACCGAAGGATTTACAGCGGAATTCGTTACAAGGTTCCTGATAAATTTCCTTTTCTGAAATTAATTTGAATATTTTATTTTATATTTTTCTAGATCCCATTATATTTTAAGTAGTTGGACACCAAAAAGTGCGATCAGTTTTCTGCTTTTAAATGTGTTTCCTTCCGATGGGTATGTTTTTTTGGTTTTATTATATTTATTTATATTATTTAATTGATTTCTGGTTTATATTATTAACAGAAGCATGAATGCAGGAAAACAGTTGCAAGCTGTCGAATGTTTCTGTAGATTAATTGATGGCACGGTTGTTGATGAAGAATATTTAAAAATTGTAAATCAACAGCAATTTATGATTATAAAATGTGTTTATTATTTAAAACAATTAGGGTTTAATTTTACAATTGATAAATTTGAAAAATATGATAAATTAAGCTTATTAAAGAAAATTTGGCAAAATTATTCGGATAAACCTTTGGCAATGGAAATAATTGCTAATATATGCATAGGTTTTAACATACATGAACCTAAAATATGGAATTCGGTTTTAAAACAAATGGTTAATTTTCATATGGTACTTATGGTCATTTTTCCGTTTAATGGAACGTAAAATATTTTCAATTGTATTTTAGTTGAAAGAGTTAGATGCATTAGTAGAAGTTTTATCATGTAAAGCACAACTTTTATATACTGACGGCTTGAAAATTGTATGGGAGTATATTTTAAAAGCGCCATTCAAACATGCTAATCGAAGTCGTTCATTTCAACAAGATGAATTGTTGTCGAAAAATTTATTTAGGATTCAGGTACATCTTTAAATCATTTTCAAATCGTATGTATTTTAGAATTTTTTTTTACTAGGGTTGTCCATTGATAGATGAGCTTAATTTAATTGAAATAGCTGAAGATTGTATACGTTTAGATCGTCCACATTTGGCTGCAATTTTAATGGGTTTGTGTAAAAAGGAGCAAAAAGAAACAATCAAAAAGGTAATGAAAAAAATAAATTAAATTCAAGTTTTTTTAATTGGTTTTTGTTTTCTTATTTTAGTTAGTGAAAAATCATTCAAATAATAAGCTAAAAGAAGACGTTATAGAGCTTCAAGAATGTGGAATTCTGCAAAGTATAATCAATAATGTCTTAAAGGAATTAGAACTGTAGTACTTTAATGTAGTAAAAACATACATAAATTTTGATAACCATTATATAGAAATTCTATATTAAATTATTTGCAACTTATTCCCACATTTGTCATTTTAAAAAATTTTATATACATTATAAATTTAATTGTAATTTTTTTGAATAAATTTAAAGCTTTCCATATTATTCTAATTATTTTGTATTCAATTTTCAAATATAATCCCTAAAATCCCTAAGCATTATTTCGGTCGCCTATATAAGTTCAAGAAAAAGGGATCTTATTGCTTTATGACAACTAGCACACCTTTTTCAATTTAAGCAAAATTTGTGGGATAATGATGCTGTTGTTTTGAACTAAGAAGATATGCACTTAAAAAACAAATAAAATTAATTAAAAAAATCATTTCGACAACTATAATCGCTTTAATCATTAAAAAATCTAGACAACTATATTTTCTTTGTTATTTTTTCTGACAATGTTGAAATTACAAAAAGTTGTTAAAACAATTATACATATATAAATCCAATTCTAATATATGACATCATATTAAAATTATATAATAATGTCCTACTTAATAACTAACAAATATGAATTTATATTTAAACTATTCTTATAAATCTCATAATTAAATATGAGTACTTTATTACTTAAAATATCATTTAAAAACATTTAACCTTTGTAAATATCAAAAACAAAATCCCAACAAAATCAGAATTGATTAGAAAAAAAAATCCTTTTTCAAATCATGAAAATTGCACAGCAAAAGTCAAAAATCCTTTTTTAATTTAATTTTCTTTTACTTTGTTCAATTTTGTATACGTATTTAAATTACGAAAAAAATATAAATTTATTTATATTATAATAATAGTCCCTTTCCAATTTAATTTACAGGCAATTTTTTAATAAAATTTCAGATGCAATTACTTTTAAGGTAAAGAATTTAAAAAAAATTACTAAGCTTTTGAATGATAGAGGCACTTACTCATATGTTTGTGTAAAAATTAAAATAAATATAAAAAATGATTACTTTAACGTGAACATTGATTCTCATTCAATTAAATTATTGTATAAAATTTAATTTGATTTTGTTAAATAGGCTTTTTAATTTTTCATTGTAAAATTTAACTAAAATTAACTCCATACATCGGCTGAATATCTCTTTTGCGCTTCCATTCTCTTCAAGAACTGTTGTGCCTCCGCCTCATTCATACTTCCATGAGTGCAAATAATTTTTGTTAATATATTTCTAACATCAGTCGCCATATTTTTGGCATCACTAAAAAAAAGATTTTTTTAAATAGAAAAATTTTCGTTCTTTTTTATCACACGTAATATATGACATATGTACACTTACCCGCAAATGTATACATGACCTTTATTTTCTCCAATTATTTTCCAAACTAATTCAGCATCTTTTTCTAATAAATGAGTGACATAAACCTTTTGAGCTTGATCACGTGAAAAGGCCACTTTTAGAGTTAGAACACCACTTTTCTCAAATTCCTCTAATTCCTCTTGATAAATATAATCTTCACTCTTCTTCCTACATCCAAAATATAAAATAGTATCACCAACTGCTTTACCTTCAGATTTTTGGAACTGACGCTCTTGAATGAAACCTCGAAATGGAGCTAAACCAGTTCCAGGGCCGATCATAATAATTGGAATTTCAGATTTTGCCGGCAAACGGAACTGACTTTTACGAATGAATATTGGAACTCGTGGTAAAGCATCTGGATTTTTAGGGCAACGTTGTTGTAAATATGTAGTGCAAACACCTTTATTAATCCGTCCAGTTGATGTTCTATAATTAACAAGAACTGCAGTAACATGAACATTGGTTGGATGAATCTAAAATAATTATTTTTTTTTTGGTTAATCATATTGAAAAAAGAAGTTTTTTTTAAATAAAGGTACCTTAGCTGATGATGAAATAGAGTAATATCTGGGTTGTAATCTTGGTAACAATTCACATAAATGATCGATTGGTGGTTTACATGACTTCATATCTTCTAATATATGCACAATATTTCGACTTGCATCTTGAATCCATGATTGATATTTAAGTTTTCCATCAGGAGTTATTGAAGCCATACTTCTCAAAAATTCTTTTTCTTTCTCGTCACTACAATACTCTGCTAATTCTTTTAGAATATGTGTTCTAGGAATGGCAGTTATTTCTAAATAATGCGTCAAGGCAGTTCGATATGTCGTTGGACATGGGAATGGATGTTTTTTGCTACTTTCCAAATCAGTATTATTTAGTGAGAACACTATATCTAAGTCAGCACTACAAAGTTGACCCAATTTTTCTACTAATTCTTTATCATTTGTTGGATACATTGCAACATGGTCACCTGCATCATAACGCATTTTTGAACCTTCAATATCTAACTCAATATGCATACACGAACGACCACCACCCCTGTGCAATTCTTTGTTAACTTTTATTGGAGCCAAGAACGGATTTTTAGCGTCAAATGGTGGGCGTTGATTAGTTAATGAATGCAAACGTGCAATTTCACCAGAATAAATTCTATCAGATTGAACATCAGGTTGTTCGATTAATTTATATTGACGAATTAAAACTTCTTCAGCACCACCTTCAATACCAAAGTGATCACAAACAGCTGGCCAGAAACGATCTTTCCATGTAATAAAATCATCTTCAATGCTACAAAAAAAATTGTTTTAGTATTATTGATGTTTGACATTAAATATGATATTGCCTACTATGAACAAATTCTTACTTTGCATCATCATCTCCGAGTCCCAATTCAAACACTCGATTTGCACCTAATTCTTCCAATCTTTTATCAACGTATACAGCAACTTTATTATAATGTTCGTAAGTTTTATTTCCTAAGCCAAACACCTAAAAAATATTCAGTAATTAATAATTAATAATAATAAATATATATTTTTTTTTACGTAATTAATGATATTTTTTTGAAATATGCACAACCAATTAAATTTAATATTGAAAGAGTTTCTTTGGTGTAATAAAAATGCCGAACCATAGTTCCGCATTATAAATATTCTAAATATCATCATATTAATAAATTTTGTATTGTATTTATAATTCAAAAAAGAAAATTAAAAACTTGATAGCCTAAAACAAATTTCATATTAGACCTAAAATAATAGAAGTTACTCAAAATTTTAATTGCAATTACGTAATATACAATTTCTAACTAATTATTTCTTTAATCACATTTTGAAAAGCAAATACTAAAATTAAAATATTTTAACAAATATACATATTAGTATGTTAGGAAATTCTTTGAAAATTTCTTATTTGTGTTCTAAATTTAATTTGTGTTGCCATGCTTGTTACAGATTGGCATGTTAAATGTAGATTGTCATTGTAGGTCATATGCAAATTGAAATCGCGAAATGTGAATATTGTCATTAAAAAAAACATTCCAATTGGAATTATTGTGAATGTGTACATAAAACATTGTCGCCAACAAACATTTTGAATTAACGATTCTCGAAATGCAAAATTACAATCATAGAGTATCGAATTAGAGAATTCTAATTACGAGAGTCACTATTACCAACTTTAATATGAATATTATGCTTGTTGTTTAGAATAATTAAATATGAAAAAAAATTTTGTTTTAAGTACAGACTTTAACGCATTATTCACATAAAAAAAAAACTATTTGCATTTTGAAATAAAACAATTATTAAAAGACTTACAGCATAATTTAATCCAGACATATCAGCATCGCCGTTTGTTATCCATTCATAAAATTCCATACAATTATCAGTTGGATCTCCTTCACCGTATGTCGCCAAGCAAAACACAGCTAATGAATTTGGTATAGTTTTCATTTTTAATAACTCCTCCTAAATGATGAAAAACAAAAAAATTAACACTTAAATATTTAAAGAAGTATTTTTTATGAAATATAATATTAAACCCACCATATCACATTCCTCAGGATCGGCAACCATACCTTTCATTTGATAACGAATACCTTCTTTAGCTAAACGTCCAGCAAACTCTTCAGCTGTACCAGTTTGAGATCCATAAAATACAACTAACTTTCTACCAGATGCATTTAATTTTTTAATAAATGAATTTTCGGCCATTGATGCAGTATTAACGGTTGTAGGTCTATAGTTTTAACGAAATAAAAAATTTTTATAAATATTCGTTACTAATTTTAGAAAAAAAAATACAAAGTTATACTTACTGTATTGAATATGATCGTATTGGTTCTTCTTCTTTCTTTTTATTCTTAAAGAAATACCATGCTCCACCAATCATTAAAATTGCAAGTAAAATAATATCCAATGTGCCTAAAAATGGTTCATCACCGGCCGCTTCACCAGTTAAAATTTCCTTTTCTATTTCAGCCATTTTATGCTGTTGTATTCAATAATTTAGTTCAATGTAAAAAAAAACAAAAATTACTGCAATTAAAAAAGCAACATAAAATATTGTTTTAGTTAAGTATTAAAATATTTTAAAGTGTAATTAGCAATAATCAAACATCTACTTAAATAAGAAATATTTAATTTAAAAACAATTGAAAATAAATGCTTTAATAACGATCTTAAAATATTTTATATTTCCGTATTCAGAATTTCATTTGAGTTTTGTTGAGCAAAATGAAATTATGAACCATTTCTTTTGAAACCTGTTCCAAATTTCTCACTTTAAAGCATAAGTGACACTATATTTTACAATAATATATACTTGCAATTTCAAATTTTTTGTAATAACAATGTGTTATATTTTATTTTGAATTTACATAAAAAAATTTGCTTTAAAAGTTTAAAAAGTTCAATATCAGTATTCTATTGCATAATATTGTGTTATTAAATTAATAACAATAGTATTGCGTTATCAAATGTTTATTACGCGTTTTAAACTATAATTTTAGTTTTACGGCATACGAAAACTTATTTAATGCATACTTCAGAACAAAAGAATAGTATAACTATCAAGATTGTCAACAATTTAGTTCTAAATTTGATTTTTCGATTAAAACTCGTTCGATAGATCAAAACTGTAAAATTAGGACGTGCGATATAAGTTTGGTACCATAAAAATGCATGTGTCTGAATTGCTACAAAGCTCTAAAGCATTTTTAAAGATTTTTTTGAAAATGCCGCAAAAATTTTTTAAAAGAGATTGTAGTTTGTAAACGCGGGGTAACAATGCACTGCGACCACGTAAAGGATCTATTGTGTCTTACAGCACCCGCTGATGAACTCGAGAAATTTATGGGGCGCGAATTTATCACAGATCATAATATATTAAAAAAAATATTTAACAATACTGAGAGTATTATAAATTTGCAAAAGTAAACTACATCATTCTTTGCAGATTTTTAATTATGCAAAACAAAATTCTTAAGATCTTATCTTGAATTTTAAGTGAATCATCTCTGAAATACCGAAAATCTTCTATTTTACATGCATCTCTGAATTGCTGAAAATCTTCTATGCAGGGTGTGTCAAAAAAAGACAAATATCTTTAAGAAATCTTTAAAAATTCTTCATCTAGAGTGTAAATTTAGAAGATTTTTTTACGTTTTTCTAAACTAATATCAATTTTGTTATTTCAGATTACAAATAAAGAATTTTTTTATAGTATAACAAAGTTTTAAAAGCCATTTACAACTTTGTCTAATTTTTACACATTTTTATTTGAGTAACGGAATTCTACAGTTATTTTCATTTCAGTTTTATAAAATATAATAAAAGTACTCGTAATAATAAATTCATTACATATTATAAAATTTGTTATAAAAAATCAGTCAGAATTTTCAATTGCCAGTTCAATTCAATAGGAGTAAATATTTTACTATCATACAATAGTTATGTGCAAATAATTTTGATAATAATTAAATCACAATTGATATTTAATTTTTAAGTATTGGCGATAATAAAATTTTTTACTGATATCTCAAGTGTATGAATAAATATTTAAAAAAGTGAAATTAAACTATGTATATGTAGCAAGTAAGTAAATATTTCGTTCTTTCACGATCACATACTTATGGCAATTGACTACAATAAGAGTATTTTTATCAAATTGAACTTAAAAATATTCTTCAGAAATTTAAACGTGAATTAAATATATTAATATTAATCAACTATGATATTATTTTTTAAGTGCGACCCGGAAGTTTTACATATAGAAATAAAATTATTATTATTTGCGAATGTAAAAATGAATTTATAAATTGCGAACTACAATTTAGACCTAATAAAAGTACTTTATTTTTACCTAATACATATTTAAAATGACAATAATATAGAAACGACGCAAATTTATAGTTTAAAATTGGTTTCCATGTTTAATATATCGAAAGCTTTATATTAAGTAAAAGACAAAACAATTACAGTTGTCCAAAACAACTCTAGGTTACTCGCAAAAATAAAATTAACTCTAATGTGCTGCTCTAATATCCTACTTCGTCCTTTTCTATCACAATATTTTGTAAAGCTGGAAAAAAAGAAAGAAGAATATTAAATCCAAAATGACAAAGGTAAATTCGAATTTTTATATAACGGGAATTATTGAAGCATACAGTATTTTATAATCTATTACAAAATATAACTACTGTAAATTTATTTCTGTTCTAAATTTTGCATATCGAAATTTAATTGAAAAAAGCATATTTTCTCCATATTTTCAATTATTTTTAGTAAATATTGTAAAATTTATTAATTGCTTTTTTGTCGTTTAGTAACATGCTATAATAGTTTGCAATTAATTATTTTCACAGCTAAAGGCTTTATTATTAATTTTGTCAAAAGGTCAAAAAGATTAAAATAATTAACTTAATGTTTAACATGTGCAATGATTTAACAAAAGTAGGTACTTAATGCCTATATGTATAAAATGAGAGCAAATTTTAGGAGTGTAAACAAACCATTTTCTAGTGAACTGGAAGAGAGCAGTACGGAACAAATGTGTGGTTTGAATACTAAATGCGAACAAAATGCAGTTTTATTAAGCTAAATGCTAAATGCAAGAAAATAAAATTCAAAAAAAGCTCAAATGAGTTTTATTTTCTTTTCTGATATTATTTTTATATCTGAATTCAAAAAAGCTTTTTTGTTTTTGATAAATTTTTAGCAGACCTTGAAGATTAGGTACAAATTATTTCGCGTATCTTCTACATATGTATATGTATATCTACATATGTATGTATGTACATATATCTTATATTTATTTTTTCTCTTTTGTATTCTTTCTACCAAAACGAGTTAATTAATTTCTATATTTTCATTATGACTTTGCAATTTTAATTTGTTTTATGTTTAGAATTTATTGCGACTAAACTTTAACATACATGTATACACTCATCCATACATGTATTAATACGTACATTTTATTATAAAGTATGTATTATAAATTTTTAAAATAAATTTCGTCATGAATCATATTCATCCAAAAGTCAATATTAATGAAGAAAAAGAAACTTGTTTTACAATTTAAGAATGTCATGCGCATACAACAAATATACACACACGCATGTATTCTAATCGGTCATTTCGCAAACGCACTCTTATCTTAATAAGAAAACGGTGATAGGTACATACTAGTAGTACATACATTCACACTAAAGTTAAATTCACAAAATTAGAGCTTAAAATACTTTGATAGCGTTTTTGTTTAAACTGATAATCAAACTAATTGGTTAAATTAAAAGATTTTTATGTGGACAAAAGAATTGAGGAAGAAGCACATTGATTAAGTTGGTCTTATAAGCTTTTATAGGAAATACAAATTGGAATTTTGCCCAACAGAGAAAAAAACAAGGTATTTATTAAAAAGTTTAATGTTTGGCACCTTGAACTAAAGTTCAACTTTAAACACTTGTTCACAAAGTAAAAGAACCTTTTAGTATTTTTCTTAAATACAACGTTTCAATTATTTTTATGTGTTTGAACTGAAAGACATTAGTAAAAGCGTTAAATAAAACACTTTATTTTACTGAATTGCAAGCGGTGTTAGGGTTAATTTTAGTCTTTTTAAGCTTATTTAGTACATTAATTAAAATTTGACTACGAAAATGTTTTAATTACTTACAAGAAAACTTATTATTCTTAAATTTTATCATAAAATTAAAAAAAAAAATTTATAATAAAAAAAAAAGTTCATGTAGACACTAAACCATTAACACTTTATACTTTTGCTACTTCCGAATAAGTCCATATGATTTCATACCTACATATATACATATGTATGTATGGATAAACATGCGTTGATTTGTGATATGCATACATAAATTGTATGTGTATAATTGTATCAAAAATTTCAATATATGTGCATTGCTTATCAACTAATATTAAAAGAAATGGTCAAAATCTTATTATGTAAATACAAAAAACTATATCACCTTGCTCTACAGATTATACCTTGCTTTGCAAATACATACTCGTACAAATATACATACAAACATCAAATCTGTGATTAAAAATTTTGAATGCAAAAACACATCGCACATGTATGTAGATATACAAAATGTGTACATATGTATGTAAGTTTATACAAGTGTTTTTCTTAATGCATAAGTTTTTAGATTTTTAAGTTCAATGTCAACAAAAAAAAAATTCGTTTTACAAATGGTCAATTCAGAAATCAGAATGTTAACTGGAAAACGAAAAAAAAAATATCAGTTCACTGACATTGACATTATTTTGCTCGATTTTCGTTTTCAAAGCAACTATTGGGAAGTTTACTTTGACATATGCAATAACCAAGAAATTATAATTAAAAAATTTTCAGGTCATTCGTAACTAGTTTAACATTTTTAGTTTTTTTTTTTATTAGCAGGTGTAAATGAGCATGTATGTACAATGCATATATATTTATACACATACACACAAATTCAACTATTTATATTTAAAAGCTTTTTATTATGCTTAAAACAAGTTTAGTATACTTTTTAAAAAGATAATGCATACAATCATACATACATAACGTAAGATAATGGAGTTAAAATTAAATTTCTGTTTTGTGAAGGGACCGTAGGGTTAAAACCAGTGATAAATAAATATGACGTTGTGAAAATTATCGTCATAGCTGTTCAACATATTCTTAGAAAATTTCTGTCAACTTTGACTTTGATAAACATCGGACTTTTATTTGACATGGGCAGGATTTAATTTGAATTTGAAATGCAGGAACTTGGTTGAATTTCGCTATATTGCAAACATTAATCAACAATTGTTTACCTTTTAACGTCTTCGGTTGTTAAACAAAAAGTAATTTGTTAAAAATTTTATTGAGAAATGGTTTGAAAAAAAAATTGTATCATCTATATGCTTTTATAAAAATTATATTTGGTACACCTAAATAAAACAAAATTACTTTAATAAATCATAATTATGTCTAATATTTATTTTAAAAATTACTTTGTCCTCAACATCACAATTAGAATTGTTTAAAA